AAAGGTCTCTCGAAGAAGAACTGAGAGAAGATAACGTGGGCAAGGGATGCAGACCCAGAGCCAAAATTGGGACTCTGGCGGGAGGGGTCTGCAGGAAGACCTGGAGGAAAAAGGTATTTCGTAGGTGGGATCGGAAGACCCCTAAGGCCTGCGACCTGACTTACTTTCTCCGCTGGACCTGCACCGCTTTGAACACATCTTCCCGTTTCAGCACCACGAAGTCGCCGTCGCAGATGCGGTGGTCTCCGGCCTGTGGGGGCTGCGAGGGCTGCGGCCCTGACTGCTCCCCTGCGCCCTCCATGATGTTCCGCCTGCTTCTCTGCTCCGCCGGGTGCCCCCAGCGCCTCCTACTCCGTCGTCGCCGCCACCAGCCTCACCTCCCGCAACCCAGCAGAACTCGAAACCCTTCGACCAGCACCGCCCCCACGTGCGGCGGACAGCTTCCGCTTTCCGGCCCGGGCCGCCGGACCGCTTCCGGGAGCCACTTGACTTTCGTTTGCTTGAGCGCCTTGATTGGCTACACGCCGTCCCGCCCCTCCCGTCTCGCCGCTTCCTTGGACGGAGGTTGCGTCACACAAGCGCCAAAAAAGAACCTGGAGGAGAACTGGGCTCCAACTTGCGGCGCGGTCGCGGCGGCCGGCACTTCGGGCGACTTCCCTAGAGGCCTTTGAGGTCGCAGTGGAAAAAGTGAAATCTCGGAGCCGCTCCGTCGAATGGGACCCGGCCCCGCGCGAAGACGTCGGGAGAGCTACGGCTGAGGAGAACCGCGGAACTTGGGCCGGGTTGCCTGAGCAGCTCGGACCTCGGAGTCTCCTTTCAGCTCCGTCGTGTTTCTCCCCCGGGAGGAAGGGAGAGCCGAGCCGGACCACACGGATCAGCGCTTACCCAGGAGCCGACCCAGCTGTGAACTAGGAGAGCTTTATATTCTTTGCAAGTGAGAACTTACCTTCGGGAGACGTAAATAAAGTAGGATATTTAACGAAGTACAGCAGTTTGACAGGTAGCTCCTGTATTCGTTCTCCAATTCTACCTCTTGCATTTGTGTTAGAAATGTTGCTAGTTATTCTTACCATATTGTCTCGGTTGAGAAGGATATTGCGTATAGTGTTGTCGAAGGAGCGCAGTATTGAGAGTTTTGATCTCTGAATTGTCACCAAACGACTTTGATCTTGATCAGTTAATTTCTCAGGGCTTCAGTTTCTTTTCTTCTTCTTTTATTGTTGTAGTTTAGATGAAGTTTACATTTCACGTTAGTCTTTCATACGAAAATTTATACATCCATTGTTTTGCGACCCTAAATGCTCTCCGCATACTGTGACAGCACACTCCTCCTTCACGCCATGTCCATTCAACCAGCTTCAAACCCTCTGCCTTCCCATCTCACCCCTGGACAGAAGCTGCCCGTTTAGTCTCTTGTATCTACTTGAACTAAGAGGCACACTCCTCACGAGTATCACTTTATGTCGCACAGTCCAGTACAATCAATCCCTGTCTGAAGAGTTGGCCTCGGAAATTGTTTTAGTTCTGGGTTGATAGAGAATCCGGGGGCCATGTTTTCCGGGGTTCCTCCAGTCTCAGTCAGACCATTAAGGCTGGTCTTCTTACTAGAATTTGAGTTCTGCACCCCACCTTTCTCCTGCTCCATCCGGGACTCTCCCTTGTGTTCCCTGTCAGGACAGTCATTGGTGGCAGCCAGGCACCATCTAGTTATTCTGGTCTCAGGCTGATGAAGTCTCTGGTTTATGTGGCCTTTTATGTCTCTTGGGCTACTATTTACATTGTGTCCTTGGTGTTCTTCATTCTCCTTTACTCCAGGTGGTTGGGACCAATTGATGCATCTTAGATGGCGGCTTGCAAGCTTTTAAGACCCCAGATGCCATTTACCAAAGTAGGATGCAGAACATTTTCTTAATAAGCTTTGTTAAGCCAGTTGACCTAGATGTCCCCTGAAAACATGGTCCTCAGACCCCTACCCCTGCTACTCTGCCCCTCAAAGTGTTTGATTGTATTCAGGAAACTTCTTAGCTTTGGTTTAGTCCAGTTGTGCTGACTTCCACTGTAGTGTGTGCTGTCCTTTCCTTCACCTGAGATAATACTTGTCTAGTATCTAGTTAGTGAATAACCCTCACCCACCCTCCCCACCCTCGTAACCATCAAAGAATGTTGTCTTCTGTGTTTAAATCTTTTCCTGAGTTCTTATAATAGTGGTCTTATACAACATTTGTCCTTCTGTGACTGACTAAACTCACTCAGCATAATGCTCTCCAGATTCCTCCATGTTACGTTTCATGGCTTCATCGTTGTTCTTTATCATTGTGTAGTATTCTGTTGTGTGGATATACCATAATTTATTTGTTTATTTATTTATTTATACTGTTGAGGGGCACCTAGGTTGTTTCCATCATTTTGCTATTGTGAACAATGCTGCAGTGAACATGGGTATGCATATATCTATTCGTGTGTATTATCTTATTTCTCTAGGATATATTTCAAGGAGCGGGATTGCTGGATCATATGGTACTTCTAGTTCTAGCTTTTTAAGGAAGCACCAAATCGATTTCCAAAGTGGTTGTACCATTTTACATTCCCACCAACAGTGTATAAGTGTTCCAGTCTCTCCACATCCTCTCCAGCATTTATTATTTTGTGTTTTTTAGATTAATGCTAGCCTTGTTGGGGTGAGATGATATCTCATTGTAGTTTTTTTGATCTGCATTTCTCTAATGGCTAGTGATCATGAACATGTCTTCATGTGTCTGTTAGCCACCTGAATGTCTTCTTTAGCAAAGTGCCTGTTCATATCCTATGCCCATTTTTTAATTGGGTTATTTGACTTTTTGTTGTTGAGGTTTTGCAGTACCTTGTAGATTTTAGAGATTAGATGCTGATCGGATTTCTCGTAGCCAAAATTTTTTCCCAGTCTGTAGGTTGTCGTTTCCTCTTTTGGTGAAGTCTTTTGATGAGCATAAGTGTTTGATTTTTAGAAGCTCCCAGTTGTATACTCTCTTCTAGTGCTTGTACATTGTTACTTATGGTTCGTATTGTGTTTATGCCATGTATTAGGGCTTCTAGCCTTGTTCCTGTGTTTTCTTCCATGATCTTTATCGTTTTTGATTTTATATTTAAGTCTTTGATCCATTTTGAGTTAGTTTTTGTGCATGGTGTGAGATATGGGTCTTGTTTCAGTTTTTTGCAGTTGGATATCCAGTTACACCAGCACCAATCTGTTAAAGAGACTGTCTTTTCCCCATTTAATGGACTTTGGGCCTTTGTCAAATACCAGCTGCTCATAGGTGGTTGTATTTATGTCTGGATTCTCAATTCCATTCCATTGGTCTATGTATCTGTTGTTGTACCAGTGCCAGGCTGTTTTGACTACTGTGGCAGTATAATAGGTTCTAAAATCAGGTAGTGTGAGGCCTCCCACTTTGTTCTTCTTCTTGAGTAATGCTTTAGTTATTCGGGGCCTCTTCCCTTTCCATCTGAAGTTGGTGATTTGTTTCTCCATCTCATTAAAAAATGCAAATTGAATTTGGATCGGGATTGTGCTGTATCTGTAGATTGCTTTGGGTAGAATTGACATTTTCACAATATTGAGTCTTCCTGTCTATGAGCAAGGTATGTTTTTCCACTTATGCAGGCCTCTTTCGGTTTCTTGCAGTAGTGTTTTGTAGTTTTCATTGTATAGGTCTTTTCTGTCTCTGGTTAGGTTTATTCCTAAGGATTTTATCTTCTTGGGGGCTATTGTAAATGGTATTGATTTGGTGATTTCCGCTTTGAGGTTCTCTTTGCTGGTGTATAGGAATCCAACTGATTTTTGTATGTTTATCTTGTATCCAGAAACTTTGCTGAAATCTTCTATTAGTTCCAGTTGTTTTCTTGTGGATTCTTTGGGGTTTTCTGTGTGTAAGATCATATCATCTGGAAACAGATACTTTTACTTCTTCTTTCCCAATTTGGATGCCCTTTATTTTTTTTCCTAGCCTAATTGCTCTGGCTAGGACTTCCAGCACAATGTTGAATAAGAGTGGTGATAAAGGGCATCCTTGTCTGGTTCCCGTTCCCAAGGGGAATGCTTTCAAAGTCTCTCCATTTAGGATGATGTTTGCCGTTGGCTTTATATAAATGCCCTTAATTATTTTGAGGAATTTTCCTTCTATTCCTATTTTGTTGAGTGTTTTTATGATGAATGGGTGTTAGACCTTGTCATACGCCTTTTCTGCATTGATTGATAAGATCCTGTGGTTCTTGTCTCTTGTTTTATTTATGTGTTGGATTATATTCATTCTTTTTCTAATGTTGAATCATCCCTGCGTACCTGGTATAAATCCCACTTGATCATGGTGAAGTATTTTTTTTGGTATGTTGCTGAATTCTATTGGCTAGAATTTTCTTTAGGATTTTTGCATCAGTGTTCATGAGAGACGTTGATAGGTAGTTTTCTTTTTTTCTGGTATCTTTACCTGGTTTTGGTATCAGAGTTATGTTGGCTTCATAGAATGAGTTTGGGAGTATTCCATCCCTTTCTGTGCTCTGAAATACCTTTAGTAGTAGCCGTGTTAACTCTTCTCTGAAAGTTTGGTAGCATTCTCCAGTGAAGCCACGCAGGCCGGGGTTTTTTTTGTTGTTGTTGTTGGGAGTTTTTTAATTACCTTTTCAATCTCTTCTTTTGTTATCAGTTTATTTAGTTGTTTTATCTCTGTTTATGTTAGTTTAGGTAGGTAGTGAGTTTCTAGAAACTTGTCCATTTCCTGTAGGTTTTCAAATTTTTAGAGTACAATTTTTCATAGTATTCTGTTATGATTGTTTTAATTTCAGTGGGGTCTCTTGTGATATCAGACATCTCATTTCTTATACAGGTTATCTCCTTCCTCTCCTGTTTTTCTTTTGTCAGTTTGGCCAGTGGTTTATGAATTTTGTTGATCTTTTCCAAGCACCAGCTTTTGGGCTTGTTAACTCTTTCAATTGTTTTTCAATTCTCTATTTCATTTATTTCTGCTCTAATTCTTATTATTTCTTTTCTTCTGGCACCTGAGGGCTTCTTGTGCTGCTGTCTTTCTATGTTCCAGTTGTAGGGTTAATGTTTTGATTATGGCCCTTTCTTCTTTTTGGATGTGTGCATTTATTGCTCTAAACTTACCTCTGAGCACTGCTTTTGCTGTGTCCCAAAGGTTCTGGTAGGATGTGTTTTCATTCTCTTTTGATTCTGTGAATTTCTTTATCCCATCCTTAATTTCTTCTATAACTCAGTAGTTTTTGAGCGAGGCATTGTTCAGTTTCCGTGTGTTTGATTTTTTTTCCCTTGCTTTTTCTGTTGTTGATTTCTACTTTTATGGCTTTATGGTCAGAAAAGATGCTTTGTAATATTTCGATGCTTTGGATTTTGTTTAGGCTTGCCTTATGGCCGAATATGTGGTCTATTCTGGAGAATGTTGCAAGTGTGTTAGAAAAGAAAGTATACTTGGCTGCTGTTGGATGGAGTGTTC